GCCCACCACGGGGCACGCGCCCCGACCGCACGGCTGTACTGCCAAAGGGATCAGCGCAGACCAAGGCAATCAAGAGCGCCAGGCAGGCAGAGACTGCGGCCCCTGCTCGCCCACTGCCCGCTGCCGCCCGGCACGCAGGGGACCCCCAGGGGACCCCCAGGGGACCCCCAGGTTGCGAACCAGGGCTGGGTTCCCACGGGGCACTGCCGCGCTGCCCCCAGCCCCCTCCCACGGCTCCCCCGAGCCAGCCTACGGCTCACGACGCAACAGAAACTATTCGGTTAGGCCACCTACACAGCCAGCTCCTTCTAATAAACCTAGTAAATCAGAAAAGATAGAATACAAAAACTCCATGAGAAATCATGTTTTTGATCAGAAATAACCAGACTCCCTCTCCATTGCAGAGAACGCTATTTCCCACGGGAGGGTCCGAGCGCCCGCAGGCAGTGCCCGCAGGGGCAGGGGGACCGGGGCACCACGGGCGCTCTCGGGGTGAAAACCTGCTCGAGGCACGTCAGACGGGAGGGCAAGTAAATGGAATGTGGATTGTGCACACAAAATTTAATCTATACATTCACAATATTGGCAAAATGCCTCTGTCCTTTATTACAAAAAGTACTGATAGGTTTAGTGTTGGTTTGAATAATGTCAGAATAAAATACTGATTCCCTCCCCCCTTTCCCCCCAAAATTTAATCTATACATTCACAATATTGGCAAAATGCCTCTGTCCTTTATTACAAAAAGTACTGATAGGTTTAGTGTTGGTTTGAATAATGTCAGAATAAAATACTGATCCCCCCCCCCTTTCCCCCCCCCCGCCCCCGAAAACCATACTCGGATTCTGCAGGGCTTGCATTTCGGAAATCAGCTGTGCGAGCTGAAGCACAGCCGTAGGGTTCAGGAGGAAACCTCCAAAACCACAGTGTGGAGCAGCGGAGACTATAATAAGACTTTAGTATAGCAAGAATTGAAATGGACTGAAAAAGGCCCACCATTTCCTAAAGCCACGCACAAGTTTTAAAAGTATAAGGAGGGAAACCTTAAAAATTGAACAAAGTGAAATTTCACAGCATATGGGAATCCGTTAATGACGTTCAATGGGGAGCGCAGAACCTATTGCAGAGAATACTGAAGACCACTTGCTGTTCCTGAACATTGCCATTTCGGTTTTAACCCCACGGCACTTTTACTGTGACAGAATAAAAGACTAAAGTAAGCCATTCAAACTTCACATTATTAAAAATGACATTTAGAAACATTAGCTTTTTAAAATCAGTTAAGAAATGAAACATCACTGTGCTCCTGGTTTATGCTTTTGCATTTGCTGAGAAATTATTTTCGTTTATCTGCATAATAACCGAGGCAAAAAAAAAAAACCAATTTGCGACAAGATTTTGCTCTAAGCCTTGCCAAAACCGAAGAATCATCTGTTCACTGAGGTGAAGGCAGCCAGCTCCTTCAGCCGCCGCACACAGCCCCGCGGCCCTGCGCTTGGTCGGGATGCTGCTCAGGGCCGGTGCTGACACCCACCTCCGGCACTGGGCCACCGAGCCAGAGAAGGACCCGTGTCCAGTCCACTCACACGCCGCCTAAGCACTATTTTCTCTGTTATCGTGTTTTTACTGAAACTCTCTGTAGCGGTTCGTAGGAAAGTGGCAAAAATCCGGTGACTCACCTGCAGTGCTTAAGTTCCACTCGTCCGCTTCATTCTGGGAGCTGGTGCTAACGGGGACCCGCGCACATCGTGCTGGGCCACCTGCCGGCACCGGGGCAAGCACGGGCATCCCGGCACATGCAACCTTCCCGTCCTCTGGAGGAGGGTCCCCCCCAGCCCTCCTGGCAGAAAACGGCAGCAAACCAGTTCTCCAACCTTCCCGCCGCTGACACAGGATCTGGCGAGGGCGGAACACTGACATTTTTCCCTTCGCCTCTGCATCCACAAGGAGTCTCCGGCAGCACCAGCCCTTTGTCTGCTTTCCAAAGGGCGCAGCAATGGCAGGAACGTCCCACATCCAGGCGTGAGGACAGCAGGAGCGGCAGTGCCCTTGGTGGCAGGGGACTAGCAGGATGCTGCAACCTGCAAGGGATGACCAAGAAGGTTTCTCGCAGGGGTACCAGGTACTCCTCCAGCAGCGCTGAGGGGCACAACCGCTGCTCTGCGGGAGGAGACAGTGGCTATCCAGGCAGAAGCAGAAGGCAGAGAGGTTTCCACTCTATGGTTAAACATCTGGCAGAACACGTGTATGTGCACCAGGGGGCTTACTGCAGAGCCAAACCACCATGGGAAAGCACTCTGGGACATCCCATCTTGAACACCTCCATCCTGGGGGACCACATCCAGCGTTGGAGGGCAGAGGCTGGACTTGAGCTTACCTTCTCCCTCCATTTCATGTCCC